CATGACACATGCCCCGTAACGCTAAATAGTGGAAATGCTAACAGTTTCAAGATGATCATAAACAACTTCCATGATTCTTATCACTAGGGACGATGATTGTTAGATTCGGAGTAGCTTAGAAAAACACACGGTTACTCATTTATTAGGTAACTGATCAACATACATTTATTTTAAATAAAATAAGTAAGAACCATTATTTAAGATTTGAATATAAGACCAACGAATTCATATATAATTTTTTTGACAATTTCATTCGGAATCGTTTGTTAAAAAATTCCAAGAACATATTTTAATTTCTTTTAAAATTATTATATGGTATTTTAACGTTATTGTTCATTAATTCAAAATCTAAAATAATTATTTTATATTAAAATTTTCAAAAAAAAATTCGAATCAATTAGAATAAAGATAAAGTTTTAATTTATGAATCGAATACAGTTTGAATAAAAATAATGATATGCGTAGGTCTAGTGTAGTCTGGAAAATACAGTGCATGAGTTGAAGCCATGACAGTATTTATAAATCTATCAATCTATCGAATATAAATATACATGGATTGGATTGTGATGACTCACCGGACCTGTCCAAGTATAGATTGTTTTAATTAATGAAATTGGTTAAGAGGAGGAGCGTGACATAACATATCTGAAAAGAGAGGCCAAAGTGTATTGAGATCACATGCAATGGGAAATGTTATGTTGGCACTCTCACATGTTACCCTCCCCTGCTCAATGTTTTTTTTTTTTATTGTATGACTAGACATAAATCAAGAGAAATGAATTTGAGAGTAGCTCTCTTTTATATTATATAAAAATTAGGATGAAACAAAAAGAAAGGAAAGGTAGGGAGTTAACCCCATGTGAGATCGTCACGAGTAGTGCCCTCAAAGTCAAAGGATACATGGCAGAGAGAGAGAGATCCCAACCCCATGAACAGGACCATTTCTCCGTTAAATCTTGAAACATTTCATTTCTCTCTTTTTGTGCGGATAAGAGGACCATTTCAACCAGAAAAGAAAGACAAATTTGAAAAGCCTTTTGTCTGTCTTTGGCAATTTTCTATCTAGTGGGACGTTTGGAGATAGAGTGATGACAGTTCTCATCTGAAACGGAAATGGTGGAAGGCTCCGTATTCATAATCGTAATGATTAAGAAAAGAAAAGAGGGGTTCACAAGGGATATGTTTCCTTTGCATGTGAAAAAGGAACTACACCGGTGCTTGGAGTTTTAAGAGAGACGCGACCCTGCCCGTCTTTTTCTTCAACGATTTGTTTCAGCTATCATCTCGTCTAACTTACTTGGTTGAGCAAAAAGAGAAACGGGTCCTTTCTCCTTGGCCTTTGAGTTCGACACATCGTAGTTTTGCTACCCAGTAACCCATTCACCTGACCACACTACATCGTATGTCGTTTTTAATCAGCTTGATCCTAATGTTAGTGTCAAGGTTTCTTAAACTATCAATAATTATTGTTATCATCATCAAGTGTAATGATGACGTTAAAACAATACAGAAATTGTCACGTGACCAATTGGATTTGGACAGGGAGTTTTAGTTTACCAGATTCAAAGTAGAGAGACTAGGGACATAGTCTGCAAACTTAGGTTAAACCCAACCTAACAGCAGTTTAGTTTTTTATATTGCTTGTACACTTCAGTTATGGATTACACAAAGTCCTGGTTCATCTGTCAGCCTGAGTTAAAAAGAAATAAAAAACACTCCTGCTCATATCTTCGCGTTCTTGCGGAGTAAGAGATCTTTCAACAATTCCAACGGTGTTTTTCATTCCACTGCAAGTATTTTCAAATTAAATCCCTTGTAAAGCTGCTACCCAGGAACCATTTTGCAAAGGAAACCGACAATTTTAAACTACTACTTGGATTTGATTCCATACTATGATCTCTTCAACAATTCATATGCATAAACTAACACAGAATAAGGCAAAAAGCTTAGTTCAAAACAGATAAATGATGACCCCCGCCCCGAAGGATTCGACTTTGTACATCAGTAGAGTAAGGGAGCAACCCTACGGCCTGGAATCAAATGTATATTGCATTTTCTTCTTGTAAAAACTGGTCTCTCAAGCTCAAGGTAACCATTTCACCTGGCCAGAGGCTAGGATCAGGCTTCAACCATACGCTCAGGATCAGATTGCTCATTAGGGGACCCATTTGACTGTCGTACGGAGTTGAAAAGAATATCTTTGATGACCTAAAGGTATAAAATGGTTAAAACCGAATGCCATAATCAATTCATGAATAAAGTAAGAATTTCTAAGAACCCGGAACATCTAAGTCACCTGCGACATTAAACCATGGACTTGCTCCACACTTATCTTTGCACTATCTCTAGTAATCTTGGTCAGCTGAGATTCTTCCTGCAACTAATAAGTGGGTAGCCACATTGCATTCATTAAGAGAAAGTAAATTTATCCTGAAAATAGCTTGAGCATACAAAATTCTAAAAAATAATAATAATACAGACCTTCTTTCGAGGGGTCCTAGAGGGCTGATGCGAGAATGGGCCAATTGGTTTTATGCTTGCTCCAGTTTTTCAGCTGTAAGATGAAATAGTGTGACCAACATAAACAACCAAGAACTTAGTAACAAATAAAATTTCATGTGCAAAAAAGAAAATATACCATCTGTACAGCAACATTAAACAAGTAAAGAAGAGTTACCTAAATCTGAAATTTGTCCTGCAACACAATCTCCATTAGCCAAGATAGGTGAAGAAGAAAGGGTGTTTACCCAGTACTTATTCCATAACAGATCCAGGAGGTGACTATCAAGAGACGACTTAAAATAAGTGATATCCAATGCATAGTACTGCAGGAAAAACATACAAAAAATTAATAAACAACGAAAGGGCCAGTATTCTTGAACATAGGGCTAGTTGAATTTCATAATAACCTGTTTACAGTGCACACCAAAGTCTTCAATCTTATTGAGCGGAATGGTCTGATACTCGGAGATAGGGTCATCTTGAGGAACATGTCCTTCAGGGTATGTCCTGAAAGCTCCAATCTCAACTTTTCCAGCGGAAACAGTCCTAGTTGGATCGATTACAAGAAGGGCTCCTGAAACTGCTGGTTCAGCATTTGGGTTGAAACATCAATACCGGATAGCCAGCATCCATATCCAGGATGAGGATGGTACCATCCAACAGCATTCTCCAATCGACCAGCCTACAAGACAGGATATCTTATTCTTTTTAAGAGCAATGATTTTCATAGACAACAATATTTCCATGTTTCCTGAAACATAACACTATCTAGCATCACACAAAAACTGCTGATACAAACATATATAACTGCAAGAATGTATGAGAAAACCATCTAGTTCAACTTGAATTCAATTAACTTTAAATACCCTTCTACAATGTAGATGGTGCAACAACAACGAGAAATTAGCTCCTCGCAGTGAAAGGAAAGGATACTTGTAAAACATTTCATTTATTTTATTTGGCATTTCCTTCTCCATATATAATTATCAACTCTTTCCGTTTGTCTTGGCTAGGGTAAACTACTAAAGTTACCGGGACTACGTGGATGTTGATTTAGGGTTTCATAAACGCCAGCTTTAAAGCAAGATCATACAAAAAGTAGATTTAAAAAAGAACCTGCTTGTTAGTCTGGGAATAGTCCACCATATACTCATAGGCATCAGCCTGGGCGTTAACCCTAGTCTCAGTCCCTTCAACAGGCAAAGCAAAGGCGTCCATGACAATGATGGCGTCCCCGTCAGTCTTCCCTTGCATCAGCCCCATCACCTCTATGGTACCACCAGATCGGGCGTGGACAACCATCTTGAGGAGAGCGAGGGCACAGATCTTGACGCGCTTGAAATAGTTATCATCATTGGCCCAAGGCTTCTCTTGCTGAAACTTGGCTTGAACCGCCTCGTCGTAGTAGAAAATAGAATCCGACGAACGGTCTGGTGTCTCAACTGTAATGATATTATTCTCCAATTCCCATGTTTTCTTGGCTATTGCGGAATCCATTGCTGTAATTCCAACTCTTTTTCACCCCAATTGGTTTTAATTTTATAAAACACCGGAGACTAGAGGATATTAAGAAAACAACCGCCTCCCTCCCAAGGATTCAGGCCCATGTCTGTCGCTTGGCTCGAAACCTTTCGGCAATTATTGGGCTTGGCTTCTCCCTAGTTCCAAAAAGTACCACAAAGTGGTGACGGTTTTTCAGTTCGGTGGCGGAAAGGAGTAGACGGCAGAGGTGGTAAAGAAGAAGAGTCGCATATCTTCTATGAAATTACTGGTTCCCCTTTAACATGTTGGTTGATCTTATACTAGGCATATACCATTGATAAAAAATAATATTGTTTTTATAACTACTGAATAAGAAAAGCTGAAAGTAATGAAACATGATACAGATGTTTGTAACTTGCTTCTCTACGTGACAAACGAGTAAAAAATAATGGTCAAGACTATTTAATTTTAATTTCGACGCGAAAACAAACTACAAAAATCAATAACATATTCAACATATGATGGGTTGGTTGGTCTATGATTTGAATCAATTATTCTTTGACATGCGTTTAGTAATCATATACAAGTTAAATCTTAAATTTTGAGGGTCTGTATATTTAAATGATGATACCTAATGTATTGAATATTAACGAGCCAAGATGAATGAATCAGATCCTACCCCAAAATCTGACACCTAAATATGAACCTAATAGTTGTGATACCATTTGTTAATTTCTCTACCGCTTACGAATGTTCTGTCTGTTTGTCTCCTCATTATCTTTTGCCTCGGCTAGTTTACACAGGTCATTTTACAGTTAGCTCATGCATGATATGGCGTCATCATCTGTACCGTCCTCTGTTTCTCGTGTTGTATCTGCTCACTTTCTCTCTCTGTTGCTGCTGCTCTATAGTGGAGTCACGTTTGCCTGCCGAACTGGCTTTTGATGTTGGTGTATTCCGGTCTTGCGGTGAACCTTCATTCTGCATACTCCAACTGCGGTGGGAACCAGAGTCAGCTGCATCGGTTTCATTTACTGTTGGTACCTCCGTAGAAGCCTCGCGCTTCTCCTCTGCCACAACTCTGAACGCATTGTCATCTTCGCATGCACCTGCCTTGTCTTCCTTGCTAATAATTGGTCCATGATTTTTCTCTTTATCCACTTCAGAAGACGTACTGAAAAGAGACAACCGACTGATTAAACAAAAATAATCAAAACTATACAGAATTAAACTATGCAGGTTAAAAGGTAGATGTAGTTGCTGTATTACTTGGATCCTGAAGGGAACCTGTTGGGGCTGCGTATTCCACCAACTTCGTTTAATGTCCAACAGTTTTTATCTTCGACTCGTGAATCTGCAGATTATGTTTAGCAGTGAAGTAGGCTCATTAAAAATTAAGCATTAAATAACAGACCATCTTAACAGTTGAGATTTATTTTATCTTCCAATCACCCTACTTGAATAATGCAAACTGATATATTTTACATCTGTGATTGTTACTGGTGAGCCAATATTTACATGATCTAAGAAGAGTTGAATAGTATAGTCACACAACTTCATAAGCTTCAAGTGAAAAGAACTCATATGACTAGTTTCTTACCCCGAGCAGTTCCTTTCCTAGTACAGCTTGTATAAACCCGTTGAATTCCTTTAAATGATCGGCCTCGGGAGCATCAACATCACTGTGACATAAATAGATAAAAGTTACAAGAAAAATTACCACTGATCTTATCACAAAAGACGAGCTTTTCCAAGGGAATCATTCAATATCAGAGCTGATTATTTTCCTTGGGGGGATTTAACGAGAATTATATGGCAACCTATGCGCTTCAGTCTTCACATGTACTGTTGATTGAAGTATCGGTCCCACCTCAAATGTCTCATCTGATAAGAAAATCTCACTTAGAAACATTTTATGGAGGGAAAGATTTATTTGCAATAAAGACTGTATTTGAAGGGAAAAAAGGAATACAGCGTGGCTGCAATTATCCACGATGGAAAATAGAAATATAGAAATGTCTTAATCACAAATTCATTAGTTTTACAGTGAATCTAAACAATAAGAACACTTCTTTTGCATTGAGCCACTGGAAGATCTTGCAGGAGACCCATAGCTCATCAATCTGATGTGGATGTTTTTATTGGAAAGTAATATCAGAGAAGGAAGACAATTAAAACTCTAATTTGTTGTCCTCTATATATTTATTATCTTCTCTGATATTTCTTTCCAATGCAAGCATCCACATCACAATCTTCCAGAAAAATGACACCAGATGCTCTGTTTATGTCCAAGAACCAGTAATCTTAAATTTGGGAATACAAATTGCACTGGAGGACTACCCCATGTTTTCCTACTTTCTTTCACAACCAAATCCAAAAGCATGAATGCAGAGCAATGATTGACTGGAAAATAGCCAAGTGAGGGCACTTGCATAAGCATACTAATCAAATCCACAACTTTTTCATGACAGAAAAGTAAATTTAGCGAGGAAGGTTACTTGGGTATTAGGTGAAAGAAACTTACAATGCTTGGATAGAATACAGTTTTGAGGCTACTGATACTTCTCCATCTAAGTATTGATACTCTTTTTAAAAAGTATCGATACTCTACCCTTAGTATTGTCGTAACCGGATTTCGCCCGGGCACGAATTTTTACTTGGCGGGAAAAAGAATATGAATAAATTAATGGCTTTTTTAAAGAAATTTTTTGGAGTCGCCATTGACCTTTTTGAATTAGGTAGGTCGAATATCTGAAAATCATCTTTTAAAATAGTTTTAAGAAAATATCATTTTAAAAGAAAAAAAATGGTCTAAATGGTCTGCGTTTAACCAAAAATTCATTTTTTTCATAATAAAAAAGGATTCGTGGTTGATTACGTTTGGGGAAGAATTATCACCCTCACAATGCCCAAAATTGGTCCTCACAACGCCCAAAATTGGTCTTTGTCGATTATAAATTGCCTCTAATATTAGAATTTAAGAATTCAAATATGAATTTAATTTATGATCCTATTATTTCGTATTTTAATCGGATAATTTTAAGAAAGAAAAAGATATTAAATAATTTTTATAATTTATAAATAAAATATTTATTTATTTAAAACATCAGAAGATGCCATCTAGTTGCTTTTAGACTGCCCTTTCTTAATATATAAATAAATATTAAAAATAATAAATTTTTCTAAGAAAATAATTTAAATAAAACAATAAGTATTTTCTAGTTTTTATAAGTAAGATATTTATTTATTTTTAAAATACCAGAATAGGACATCTAGTTGCTTTAAGACTGACATTTTCTTTGATATTAAAAATAAATAAATATTATTATCTAATCAAATTATAAAATTATAATATTGTATTTCATGTAAATATTAGTGAATAAAAAATAAATAAATAAAATACTATATTTTAAAGTATAGGATAAAAATAAAATTAATACTATATGGTATTTTATTATTAATATAATATTAAGTAAAAAATAATAATGATCAAAATAAAAGAAATTAAAAGCAATAATATTAAATTGCAAAATATTAAAAATTCAGGGTCAAAAATAAAAATTAGTGATTAAAATGTAACATAGAAAAATTAAGGACCTAATTCAAAATATCCTAAATCTAGGTGCTAAAAGTGTAATTTAGCCTTAATTCATTATTCGGATTTAAAAAAAAAGTCATTAAAATTGTAAGGACTAAATACATATTTTACCATAAATATATATAATTATGTCAGAGACTAAATTATAATAAACCAAACTTTGAAAATCAAATTAAAAGATTCAGAATTTGATTTCAATGACTAAAATGATACATATTTTACCATAAATATATATAATTATGTCAGGGACTAAATTATAATAAACCAAACTTTGAAAATCAAATTAAAAGATTCAAAATTTGATTTCAATGACTAAAATGCAAAGTTACAAAACCATGGGAGTTGCGGAAAGGGTTTGCCCCTTATGAAATTACGCATATATCTCTCCTCAAAACGGCGTCGTTTGGGAAGGAGTATATAAACCCCAAATGGCCGGCCATAATGGCCATTTCGTTTTATTTTTCATTTTTCTCCCTCTCTCTAAAAGACAGAGATGAAAAATGCTCTCCCCTCTCTCTAGGTTTCCCTCGCCGGAGGGAAACCGGTCACCGGTCGATCGTCGTCGGCTACCGTCGTCGATGGTCGGAAAATAATAACTTACACTAAAATGAAGCCCCGACTACCCCAATACCGAATATGGACTTGGTTTCCCCTGAAAAACTCCAAATCGGAGTAAATCTAGATTTTTACCTTCAAAATCCGAAGGTCTCCGGTGACGTTTCGAAGGTCCGATGATGGTAAGTCTTCCCTTCTTTTCTTTTCGTTGCTTGTTGTTTTTGTCTCTTCTTTTCCTTCTCCCGTTCTTCGTCTGCTCTGTGGTTACTGGTTCTGCTCTCTGTTTTTTTTCATTTTTCACTCTCTCTCTAAAAGAGAGAGATGAAAAATGCTCTCCCCTCTCTTTAGGTTTCCCTCGCCGGAGGGAAACCGATCACCGGTTGACCGCCGCTGACACCGCCACTGGCTACCGTCGTCGGTGGTCGAAAAATAATAACTTACACCAAAATGAAGCCTCTACTACCCCCAATACCGAATATGATCTTGGTTTCCCCTAAAAAACTCCTAATCGGAATAAATCTAGATTTTTACCTTTGAAATTCGAAGGTCTCCGGCGACGTTTCGAAGGTCCGATGATGGTAAGTATTCCCTTCTTTTCTTTTCGTTGCTTGCTGATTTTATCTCTCCTTTTCATTCTCCCGTTCTTCGTCTGCTCTATGGTTACTGGTTCTGCTCTCTGTTTTTTTTGTTGGTGTTGGCTGCTGTCGATGGTCATCTTCTTTGCAGGTTCGATGGCCATATTTATAGGCCACCATCGAGCTGCCTTTGGACCGGTCCCAGAGAGGTTTCTCTGTGAGTCACCAAGCTATGGCGGTGACTCACCATAGAGCATTGATGTGGCGGGGCATCTGGCTTCTGGAAAGCTCGGTGAGGGTTGAGGCGTGGCAGCAGCAGCGGTGTTGTCATGGAGTTTCTAGAAGCAGCGGCGGCTGATGACAACTTAGGGTTATGAGCATGGTTTTCAGAACCGGACCGGTTAGCGAACCGACCATGCTACCGGTTCACTGGTTCAACCGGTCGAACCGATTCGACCGGTCGGAAGAACTGGACGACATCATAATTATTTAAAAAATTAATTAAAAATACCAAAAATATTTAATAAAAAATAAATTTTTATATCATAAGTGATATTCAAAGCAAGTCATAACATATATAAGTTAAAAACCATAAAATCAAGTGAAACAAAATGATTTAAATTAACTACAACATAATATTTAAGGTAAAACATATTAAATAATAAATATAATTATATAACTATAATTAAAAAATAAATTTGGGGCTAAAAATCATAACAAAATGATATTGTTTGGTGTAATTTTAAAAAAAAACAATCTCACATGGCTAAGAAACATAGAAGAGCATCCCAAAAGTCTAAAGAGTAAAAATATGAGAACAAAATAATCCCACATGGCTAAGAAACATAGAAGAGCATCCAAACTAACTTCTATAAATAATAGAGGTAATTTGGCATTCAAAATCATGGAGCCTTTTGGTGAGCATTGAGTGAACTATTCTTTCACTTCAATCAAGCTCGAATTTTATGCTTCAATCGAGCTTCTAAATTTTTTTTGAGTTCAAGCCTTTTCGAGTTCAAGTTTCAATATTATATTTCGAGTTCGAGTTGAACTTGATAATTTTTAGCTCTTGAGTTTGAGTCGAGTTGAGCTTACTTTTAAAGTTTTCAAGTTTGAGTCGAGCTCAGCAATACTCGAGTTCGACTTGGCTCGTTTAACAAATGACGTCGTTTGGTTTATTTTTTTTTAAACAAAACAAAATTGGCGGGTTTTTTTCAGTTTTTTCTGGTTTTCAATCGGTCCGGTTCGAATGGTTCAGCGGTTCCGGCCGGTTCACTAGTAGTGGTTCAACCGGTATAGATTGAACCGGACTAGGCAACGGTTCCCGGTTAAACCGGTTGAACCGGCCGGTCCAGTCCGGTTTTCAAAACACTGGTTATGAGATCCTAGGGCTTCATGCTGGACCTTCTGTGGACCGTTGGATCTCTCAAATCCAACGGCTGAGATCGTTGGCGGCTGGGAGCATTGAGGCGACGGCAACGCTAGGGTTAAAAATCCTAACAAAAACCCTAAATGAGTTTAGGGTTTCTGTTGGGCCATCTGGTTGGGCTTCCAGATTTGTAAAACGGGCATGGGTTCTTGTAAATGGGCCTATATTTTTTATTTAATATATATATATATATAATATTAATAATAATAATAATAATAATATTTATAATAATAATAATAATTATAATAATTTAAAAAGGAAAAAATTAGTGTCTACAGCTGCCCCTCTTTGCTCATTCTTGTGTTAACAAGAATAGAGCAAAGGCGAAAAAGACAATAATTTTTTCATTTGGCTTCTTTTGAGTAGGATGGAAATGTTGAAAACATTCTGCCCAGAGGTCTTATAAATGACCCGAAGGTTTTGAAAACATCAAAAAGTTCCCGAAGGCTTTTTGAAAACATCCTGCACTGTAGGGCTTACGGATGACCCGAAGGCTTTGAAAACATCATGCACTGTAGGGCTTACAGATGACCCGAAGGCTTTGA